CTCTACTTTAGTCAATCCTCCTCAGTCTTCACACGTGTTTTCTATTATGTTTATGCTTCACCACAGCAGTAACTGTAGCTAAAAATTAACTAAAGATGATTCATTTCGATTAATCGATTTCTGATATTTTTTGTGCATCTAAAAAAACTTCAGGAAAAATTGGGAAAAACAGGGATAATAATCCATAATAAAGTTTAGTAAGAGAAAAATCTTTATATTGACAAATAACGATGATATTAGAAGACATAATTAACAAATGATGAATTGAGAGTGGCATACATCGAATGTGAAACATCGATTTCTCCCAAAACTATGGGCGGTTCGATTAATCGACGGGAATCGATTCTACGTGAATGCACTGTACCTGATTCTTGCATGTTTCGGAAGTGTCGGAGTAAAACTGTAATTTGTTAATTTATTTTTAATAAAATGAGGATTGAAACGTGTTATTTTTGCTCGTCCAGGATATACCCGGGCCACGGAATTCAATTTGTCAGGAATGATTGCAAGGTAAAGTCTAATTATTGACTAATCAAGTTATATTTATCTTCCATTATTTTTGCCCATTGAAAACTACACGTGTTTTGTTGATAAACATTTTAGGTTAGGATCTTTTAAATATTAAATTATAATTCAGTTATCATCAAATTTAATTCATTGATTGAATGAAAAATAATGTGACGTTTTTATTCCAACAAACAATTACTCTTTTTCATAAAAAAATTGACGAATAAAGAACTTAATAATGACAATAAGTTCCTTGCTTTCAGATCTTTAAATTCTGCAGATCGAAATGCCATGCAGCTTTCAAAAAGAAGAAGAACCCAAGGAAAACGAAATGGACGAAAGCCTACAGAAAAACAGTGGGAAAGGAACTGGCAGTGGATCCTTCCTTCGAGTTCGAAAAACGCAGGAATTCTCCAGTGAAATACAGTCGAGAGCTCTGGAGCAAGACCATAGAGGCCATGAAAAAGGTGGAGACCATAAGACAGAGGCGATCCAACACCCACATAATGCAGAGACTGAGAAAAGGTCGTGTCCTCGAGCAGGATAAAGACATTAAGGAAGTCGAGAGGAATCTTTCCCTCATCAGGTCCCCTGCTGCTGGCCTCAAGAACAAGAAAAAAGTCGAAGAAGCTGTCCAGGACGACCAGAAAATGGAGGAGTCCGACGAAGAAATGGAGGCACAGGAGATCGCCATTGAAAATTAATTTATCCCATTATTATTCGATAAATACACATCATCTGCTTCTATATCTATTTCTTGTAAATAAACGACTGCTTCATTTTTTAGATTAATTTCAGTTTTATCTTGGTTTTTTTGCTAATTCGGATAAATATACTTCACACTTTTTCTTTTCATTTGGTCGTATAACAATCGGAAACGGCAAATGAACTTTACAACGACGTTGTAGACATTGAGATTATGTTCAAAATGCGATTTTTTATTTGTAATAGTCCACTGGAGCCTTGAACTCTCTTCTGTGATTCAGTGATTCATTATGCCCCCCTCTATAAATATAAAATAAATTGTCACGTCTCTACTAACGTATTCACACCTGTTCTCAGGTTCGTTAATCTGTCTTTGATACCTCCCATTCGAATGAATAGAAATAAACATCTTCGACTCAAAATATCAGAAAATAACTTGAATAATTTGAATAATTAACTTAGTGGCGTGGCGCATGACGCTAGCTGAAGAAAACAGTTTCACTGTCACAAAAATGTCAACAATTCGCTCACAATAAATTTTATTCTATATTCAATTAACAATCGATGTGAATAATATCTCACTGTGAATTTTATAGTTTTAATAAAGTTATAGTTGTAGAGAATTTGGTGTAACTGCATTGCAGTCGTAATTTTTTTTTTGCCAATGGGAAGAAATTATTTCTAACCTCGAGCCACTCGATAGGCTTAATGCATTTAATATATTATAATTATTGATAATAATTTATGAGGATTTCTTGATTTATTTGGATAGAAGGAGTTTTAGTCGTGATGTCAGCAGTATTCGGAGTTTGTTTGGTACTCTTTGTACTGGTCCTTGTGATTTTAATTGCTAAACAATTGTACTGGAGCCGGCGCATTAAAAGTGTGGAGGGAAAACACGTTGTGGTAATTATGAAATTTGGATTTCAAATAGAAGTTATAAAATAAATCGTGTATTTTTTCACCGGTTCGTTTTTTATGACTTCATTCGACAGTTAATTATTTCAATTAATTATTTTAATTGTTTATCATTTCGTTCTTTTTTTTCATTCCATTTTTTACGGTCAATTCTCTATTTTTCTTTGTTTTAAAAAAATTTGTTAGATGGAATAAATCGTTTCTTTGAAGTTGATCAATAATTTTAAAACATAATTTTATAAAAAGACTTAAGACGTTTCATTTTAATTGATCGACGCAGAATGACAGAGTTACGTACTTCTCAAAATAAAAAAGTCTTACGTTGAGATTAATGATTTTCTAAAAGGAATGAAAAATATGTAATAATAATGAATATAATGATAAAGGATATTAAATGGATTTCAGATAACTGGAGGATCGAGTGGAATAGGAAGATCTGTGGCTATTTTAGCAGCGAAAAATGGTGCACACGTGACGATCATAGCTCGAGACACGAAAAAGCTTGAAGCAGTGAGGAACGAATTGCTGAGTGTCTCGAAGAATCGAGACAGCCAGAAGCATGAAATTCTGTCATTGGACATAACTGCGGGCTATAATGTCGTTGAAAAGGCCTTAAGCGATGTCGAGGGAACAATGGGAGCTATTTACATGCTCGTGAATTGCGCTGGTACTGCCATTGCCAGTAAAGTAGAGGACACAACTCCGGATAACTTGAAGTGGATGATGGATCTCAATTTCATGGGAACTTTCCATTGTATTAAAAGCGTTGTGCCGAAGATGAAGAGCGCTAGGGATGGAATTATTGTACTAACTTCGTCGCAGGCTGCTCTCCTTGGTAAATATATTCATCACTACTCAATTTTCTTCAGCGTTAGGGCTTTATCATCTGAATAAAATGCAGAAGAACCAAGAAATATATTTTTCGACAATTAGTTTCTGGATAATATCTCGGCTTTATAGGAAATCGAAGAATATCTATAGCTCTCCTATCTATAGCTTCCCTAGTCAGTCAGGTTAATTTCTACTTTAAATCTTTGTAGAAATTTAATCGAGTGCATGATAATGCATCAATCCAATTAAAAAGGGGATTTACATTATTTTCAATTTTACATAAAAATGCAAGTAAATGTTAAAAATTTGGAATATGTTGATCATTGATGAGAAAATTAAAGACAATTGAACAGTCGAGTTGATTTTAAATATTGATTTCCAGGAATTTTTGGATATGGCGCTTACTGCAGCTCGAAATTTGCCGTTCGTGGTCTGGCAGAGACTGTCGCGATGGAATTGAAACCCTACAACATCTTCGTGACCCTCTCAATGCCTCCTGACACTGACACCCCAGGTTTCGCTGTCGAGGAATTAACAAAACCTGTCGAGACAAAATTAATCTCAGGATCCTCGGGGGCAATCAGTCCCGATGTAGTGGCTCATCAGATGTTTGAGGACGCCTTGGCTGGAAAATTCTTCTCCACGAGTGGAATCGATGGTTTTATGCTCACGACTCTGTGCTGTGGAATGTCACCAGTCTCCTCATTCGCACAATTGGTCCTCGAGGTTCTACTCATGGGGCCCTTCAGGCTCGTTAGCGCTTGCTATTTAGCCTCTTTCGACAGGATTATCAAGAGTTGCATGAAAACCCGAGACCTCAATAAAAAGTCTCAATGAAGGCAGCGGAATTATTTTTAAAAATAAGTACTCAACTTTAACGTATTTCTAATTTGCAATTATAATAAATATTTTTTATCCGGATAATCCGCGACAATTCTTTAAAAAAATTTCATTTCCCCGGAAATGGCTCAAATAAAAAATCACAGCAATTTGATATAAATAATTATATTCCGCACGAAATCGTACCTGAAATGAATAAAAGGGATAAAATCACTAACTCATAAACAGTTTTGGCTTACTTTTATTAGTATCCCATAATTTTCCATTTTTTTTTTTCATTTTTCTTGTTCATAGTATAATGTTCTTCATTAAGCATTATGTTCTTACACACATAGAATGGGCGTTCTTCTCCCTCATATCGTCGTATTTGCCACAATATTCCAAAAAAAATGCAAGACACCCTCGATCTCTCGTATTGTGTAAAGATATTTAACTCTTTAATAATGAAAAATATGAATCGACGAATTGAGTCTACCAGTTAAGCCACTCCATCATTAACTTCAATTATTGTTCGTTCCTCTCTTTGAAAACATTTAAATAAATTATAATCGCGACAGAGGGGAACTCGCGATGGAGGAGAGGCTAAAGGTAGAGTCTTAATTCTTGAAAAAAATCACCACTCGATGTATCATGACTCAAAAATTATTCTCATGTCGTTAACGAAGTGAATGAAGTGAATAGTTTTTCTTCTTGAAGTTGCGAATGCAATGATTCTTAGTCAACAAATATCACTCATACATTCACTCTCTCACGTTATACAATTATTGGAATCATGAGTCATTCTCTCCAGCTTTTACTATATATTCTGTGGATCATTCGATGGAATCCTCGAGCCCTGTGTCACTTCGGGGATTTGACAGATAAATCCACGATGCAAGTCTGCTTCGAGAGTGTATTTGTCAATTAGTGGGAATTTTTCCACGATATCGACCGCTCGACAATTGAATTTCGACAATTGAAAGTGGAAAAATTGATTCGGATGTCAAGCAATGAAATCAGGTCATTTGGACGTTCATTAATTATCGATTATCTCGGAAAGGAGTGGTTGGAAAAGGATGTGTCATATTACCTTTATTGTAGAGTATACGATTTTCAATAAAAAGTGTCTCTTTATGTTTCTCCATAAAACCACTCATTATCGAAATATTCTCATTTTACCTAGAATCTCAAGAATAACGTCTCTCAAGAATAATATCTCTTTGGAACGTTTTTCACTTCTGTTAATTATTAATTATCTCGTGAACAGTTAGCTCTACAGATAAATATTATTAAAACTTTTTGTAGTTGATAAAATTCATCAGAAGAAAGTCTTGTGAAATTTTGGTATGGGATCCTTGGTTCATGAGATTATTGCCTGTTTTCTCGTTCACATCCGAATTTCTCTTGAATCCCTTCACAATTTCAAATTCGTTAAGAGAGATTTACCTAATTATTCGGGTTAATCGAGGAATAAGTAGGTAAATTAGGGAGTCGAACGGTCGAAGGTGGGAAAATGTCTGGACGATGCCGTTTAGAAATAATTTAATGTCTCAAATGTCATAAAACAATTTTTCATTTTCTCTCGAAACTTGGACTGAGGCTTCTGAGAGAATTGTGTTCATCCGTGTCATTCCATCCTGGTCAGAGGTCAGAGACCGGGTGAAATAACTTTTCGACGTATACTCGTTAATTGCACGAGGACACGTCGAAGGGGTGGGAGATAATTAAATAGAATAGGATGATTTATTTATTTTATTCAGTGGAAAAGGAAAGCTGTCTCCTAGTTTTTTTAGCATATCTCAGGATTGGAGGGAGGTAGTGAAATTTTGATAGAGACCTTTTTTATGGCTTATGAAATTTCCAACAAAAAAAAGTTCTATGAAAAACTCGATATCTCCACTGCAGTCGGAGATAATCTCGTTGGAGTCGACAGAAACGAATTCTCGAGTCGAAGGATTTTATTTCGCTTCACCATTGAATTTTTAAATAGATTCTCTCAAAAACATTTCCAGTGAGCTTAGGGTGTAGATCTCACTGAAAAAATAGATAATACTTTTGGGTATTTATTTTTTCTAGGGCCACGAAAGGAAATATGAAAATTCAGGCTCAAAGTGAAATAGTAAAAATGGAATTTGAATTATTTGAAAATGTCGAATTCTCTTGACGCGCAATGATCTACAGAGGAAATGACTATTTTTATAGGCGATTTAATTATTCACACGAAATAGCTGACATTTTCTCGTGAAATTATTCCGTTTTACTATTTCACGAGTGAATTATTCAATTTATTTTATCCTGGGGATTAAATTACCATTGGAAACAATTTTCCAAGCAATTCAAAAGGTATTACCGTAATTTACTTATTTACAATCATCATTACCGCTAATAATAGGGTTTAAATTATTGAAATACTGCCATTAACTAAAGCAATGCGCTTCTGTACAATTATCGAGGCAATCAGTGGAGTTATTTCGACGTATTCTCGGCACACACACAATATTATTTCTCCTTCAACCCTTGAGTATTCGTCGAAGAGCCTGCGACACAAGACGGATCGTGGGGCACTGGGGTTGGGTTTTTAAGGGAAAAAAAATTATATATTCAATGCATCAGTCGATCCCGAAACTCTGCACGACGATATGATTTCAATTTTTATTATTTATCATCACTCTGTTACTCCCGTTTATCCGAATACATTCGAAAAAACGAACGTGCGAGTCTCGGGCTCCAAACACGCCATTCAAAATTCAGAGATTTGGAAAAAATTCGTACGAGTATAAAGAGCAAAATCATTTGAGTCGAGACAATTAATCATCAAAATACCCCCAAAATTCTATAAACTTGAATTTTTTTGCTCAATTTTCTCATGAATTATCTTCCAATATCTCCAAATTTTAGTCATATTATTAATTTGTTAAATGAACAGAAGGCGGTGTTTAATAACTACAATAGACATTGGTACAAAAATTCAATGCTGCTACGATACCCTAGACGAATTATTTATATATATATATTTTTTAATTTATTTATTTATTCATCATTAATTCGTTTCAAAGGAGTGACAAGGACGATTCATTGATGTTTCCCAATCGTTCTCGTGTGGCAGTAACACTGGAAGGAATTCCCATGGCCAACCGAGAAAGGGAAAACTATTGTAAATAAAGAAAAAATAATTGAATTGGTCCAGGTCACACCTTTTGTTCACATCGATGTGGCGTCATTCGACCAACGACGACGTCAGTCCAACGAACTTAGTTATCATTTTCTTTATTCTTCCATTTTTGCCCAGTATTTTATCATCTCTTACTCTCATTTGCTCGGTAATATTGGACAATAGTCAGCATTTCTTCAAGTTTCTCTCGAGTTTTTTATTCACTTAGAATCTAGGCTTTAATCAAGGTTTACGGTTAGAGCGTGTGGCCGGCCCGTGCTATCCTCAGTCGCGTTTTTCCGCCGTTTTTCATGTTTATTTTTTTTTTTCATTCAATTTTCCTGAAGCCTTTCAATGTTTTCCATTTTTTACACAGACAAATTATTCGTTACCATTGAGAGATAATTATCCAATTTTAAAACGCATCGTCTAATCATATTGAAAAAAAAAATTCGCTCAATTCGCTCAGTTCGCTCAATTCGCTCGATTCGCTCAGTTCGCCGACGCCTAAAAATCTCTCAATCAAAACTCACAACTCATCTGCACTGATCACCATAAAAGCAACAGCTTCCTGGACAGAGCTCCCTAAACAATTAATAAACTCCAACATTATTTCTCAATTGTTAAATAAAATTAAATTGCCCTCAATTTTTACGGCCAACAACAATAAACAACAATATTTTTAAAACATATCTATGTGAATTATTTTCACATCGCGATCCATTAATTTGATATCATCACCGGTTAGCACAGGCGGCCAGACATGTATTTTCATTATTATTTTCACTTTACGTTATGATTTAATTATTATTATTTTTAGCTCCCCTCGAAATTCATTCTCACCCCCCCCCCTTCCCCGAAAAAAACGTACGTTCACCTTTTATACGATTCAGAAATTACACATTAACAGTAGGTTTAATGTAACACGTACGGCATATCGTAATTAATTTAATGGTATTTATAACTAATTATTTACAGACAATCACATAAATCCGTAGGTAATCTAAATATCATTCGTATAATTTTCTTCATTGTGTTTCTTTTTTTTTATTGAAGTGTCGGATGTTATTACTCCTTGATTATTTTCTGGTACGACTTTACCTCCGAGGCACGCAAAAACTCAATCCCTTTTTACTGGAGAATATTATATTAAACAAATAGAAGATACTCTTGAATTTTTATTAATAACAATTTTTTATTTATTCGGCTTTGTCTCTCGCAGATCTGTGAGCTGAAACTTGTTCAATTCCCCTGGTAGCATTCCATCATCCCTTTCAATTTCCTTCTCGCAATAATTCATTGTAATAATAGATTTTTGTATATAGGATTTATCAAAAAATTCGCAAGCTCTCGCGAATGAATGGTAGATAATATCACGTCGATAGAGCAATGCGAGGGGGATTTTTGTTTTTTTTTTCTGGGACTGCCGCCACTGAGGTCTTTCTCGTTAATTTTTAATCCTCAGAAAATTTTCTCCACATAATTACCATAATTATAATTTAAAATCAATCAGACGAGCAATAAAATGAAGGACACATCCTCCAATGTAAATATACATTTTTTCTCCGCCTCTTTGATAAATGCTTCCCCCTCAAAAATCCCCCAGCACTGTCCTAAATATCATTAATGAAATCCAAGTATGCGGAACGTAATTAATGAATGAGAAGTGTTGGATTATTAAAAAATAAAAATTCGAATAATACCTACGAGTTAATACTTCATTCCCCTATTTATCCAGGTGCCAATGACATCCTCTCCCCGGCAATATTCCCGTATTTATTCAACTCTTCAGGCGTTAATTCAATATAATGATGTATAAATGCATAATGAGATTCAACGCGTGAGAATGTACATACTCAATTTTCATTCAATAAATGAAACATCGACCACAATTGATTGCTCATCGTCTCGAGTCTCTTAATTATCATGATTAATCATATCCGAGAATTTTTATTGTCTCTGACTCTGATAAATTCTCCAAGATCTGATTAATCCATTCGATTCAATAATTTTTTTTTCGTCATCATTGTCTTTCATGGATTGAGCGAGTCAACGATTTGAGCTTTAAATCTAGTTAATTTGGATTCAGAGAAAATATTCTTTCAGTTTTTCTTTAAATTCAAAATTTTCCGGGATAAAAACAAAAAAATTACTGAAACTTTTTTTATTTTCGCTCGTTTCGCTCATTTTCCTGAATTTTCTCGATTCGCTCATCCGTAAAATATCTCAATTGAAAGTTGTAACAATAGCTGAAGCGTTCGCTCCTCCAAAAAATCTCGTAATTAATGTAATTACAATAATTAATCAGATCTGAGAATTTTTATTGTCTCTGATAAATTCTCCAAGATCTGATTAATCCACTCGCACGAATAACTCTTCCCTCATTTTATTCAATTTGTCCGAGCAAATCAATAAATTATCCACCAGATAATTTACTAATTTTTATGGATAATTATGAATTTTATTCAGTCGAGACGACAAGCAAGTGCAGGACGTCGAGTATATACACTGCAATATTTGTTTTTTATCTTCTACAACAATTATAATTTCAATGACTAGTAAACGATCGAACAAGTTTCAATTCTCCAACGAGAGATGATATTTTTACCTGATATATTTCATCAATCGTTCATACGTGAAAATGCTTCATCGATAAAATATTATACTCTGTAAACAATCCCCTGGGAACGAGTATTTCTCAAGAGTATTCTTGTTTATTTACAAGTGGACGACGAGCAATTTTATTTCATATTTATTTTTTGTTGACTCTGCCAGAGAAATTATTTATCTGCGGCGAACAGTACTTTTGGTTCCTCATAAATAATGGACAAAATGGATAATTCCTAATTATTCGTTACTTACAAATTAATTAATTCTGAAATCATCTGCAATCACCGAAGTACTGACGTCACTTATTCATTCATTTTGTGAGTGCATTTGATTCGGGCAAATCATTTCTCTCTCTTCCATTTTATATTCCGAAACACTATCAGTCCATCTGGATTCTTCGATTATGCCGGTTTGTGATTCAGCAAATATGATAATAAAAAAAATACGCTGAGAACGCGATGGGAATAATAAAGAACTGCGGAGGCGAGTAGATTGAATGTGAAGTGGCGCGTGCGAGGGCAATATCAAAATGAAAAATTACACAAGAGGAGGCAGTGCATGTTGAAATGAAAAAAAAAAATTGAGGGAAGATTGACGGTTGGGGATCGGACCCGGGGGAAGTAACCTGCCTCGATTACGTCGAGACTGGCCACGCCAATCTCCAATCTCGAAATATCGATGGAATATCCACCTCACAGATTATAAATCATCTCGAGCGCCTGTTGTTAACCAATCGTCATTCATTTACAACTCAATCCTCCAATTTCTACTCAAATCGCAATAAATTTCAAACAAACACAAGAAACAGAATAAAACACGTAAAATTAACGGAATGTTAACTAAAAATTACTGGACATAATGACTCGTGGAATCCTTCTTCGCTGTCACAATTTCTAGAGGAAATTTGAGTATGAAAGAGTGAATTAAATTTCTTCTGATAATATTTGAGGGAAATAATTATTTTAAAAACGAAAATTCTTCGAAAATGGAATGAATCAATAGATTAAAAATGTGAGAGAAGATTATTGAAGATTCTGGATTGAATTATTATAGATAATATTCATAGGAGGGGATTCAATGAATAAATAAACTCGGAGGGTGAAACTTTATACTGAATTTTTAAAGGAAACTTGAGATATTAATTCGCCGCATTGATAATTTTTTTTCAGGGATTTTACCTGGGGTTCGAGTTGAAAACTGAAAGTAGAAGCCGTTCCTTCTCGTGTAGCCTCGTTGGAGGAAGTGTGGGTGGAATTGAAATGCCCCCGGCGTGTAACGGAAGCCCGGCGCGCCTAATAGCAAAATCGATGCTGACTTGTGTTCGCAGTTTCGTGGGGCTAATGCCGGGGAACACATTTTCAGATATAAATTGTGGTTGAGTTGCGGCTTAGCATAATTCCAATCACATTCCTCCATTAATTTACATCGAAGTTTCAACGAATTCTATGAAATTTTGAAAAATACATAAAAATTCCAATTATTCATGAATATCTCTTAATTGAAAAGAGATATGAAAAAAATTATGAGTACCTTTTTTGTTGACGAGAAATAGATCTACAATAAAGTCTTCACAATTTTTTTTCTATCTTTCTCAGATCACGAGATATCCTGAGATGCTTGGGGAAACCGAATGAACAAAAGAGGGGAAGCCCCAGAATCCAAATGTCTCTTCATTGATCTTTCAGAAACGACAGAGTGAAATTTCCCCTTTTCCTCGACATTTTGGAACTAATCTTCAAGCTGCTTTAAAATGAGCTTCAGCTCATTAAAATCAGATTGTCAGGTGGGGAATTCTCGACTAGCAAGTCAGTAGATTCCCCTTGGAATGAAAAAAAGCTGTCATACAAGTACCAAAATATTTTTTTTATCATGACTGACTTTGTTTTTTTCATTAACTGATCTTCCGTGACACTCATCAGTTCACCCCAATTGATAACAGAATTAAAGAATGAAAAATAAAAAATATAAAGTGAAAAAATTAATGAAAAAATATTTACAGGACAAGTTGCAATAAGTTGGATGACAATTTCCAATGAAAAAATGATTCAGGAGCGCCATTGATCATTGAGCGAGCCTCGGTGACGTCGTTAGCACCAAGAGTGCACGTAGAAGCGTGTCGAGGTGAATTTTCATCACGTAAATTGTGGACTTTTTCTTCTTGATTACTCTCCCTTCCTTTCAACCCCTTTTTCTTCGTATTTCTTGAGTCTCTGAGGATTCAATCGGGCGGGATTTGTGGTGGGGATGGGAGGGATGATTATCGTGTAGTGTAGGCGAGTCGGATTGATCTCTGATAAGTGAAAAGGGCCATTGATAAGAGGACAAGGAGAACAAAGAGCCGTCTGCCTTGGTTTGAAGATAGACTCACTGATCCTGCTAGCCACCACAGGGCACGACAACCCCCTGGAGCTGCACTTATGCCCCTTTGGATCGCAGCAGGATGTTCACCTGAAATTTTCATGTTTTTAAATCACTACTTAACTTTGAATTTTATATTTTTAGAATAATATTTTTTGGAGCCCTTATTTTTGTCTATAAAAAATTTATCTATATCCTAAATAGCTGGCCCTATTTTTCGTGAATTCCGAGAAATTAACTAAAAATGGCTTAAACCAAATCCCAATTTGAAAAAAAGAGTTTTTAATTCATTTATGACTTCATAGTCATTGGAAGTCTAAGTTGAGAATTTTTTTCGTGAAAGGGAAATGTGATGGGTTTTATGATAGTGATATTATTTTTGGATCTAGAATTTTTGAGCGGGCGGGTAAAATTCCGGGAAATTTATAAAAAAAATATAAGCGAATACTGAGTAATAATGAGTATTTGAACCATGAAAATAAATTGGACAGGAAAATGAAATAGTCTAGTTTTTTTTATGAAACTTTCTCAGGCGTTTGATGCCTGTCATCACGGAGTGCTCGATTTTTTATTTCTCCCTCGCAGATTGTAATCTCTCAAAATTGGAACTATAATCCCCTTTTAAACTGTCATTGTAAAATATTCGTGGAAGAGGTGGTACCGCCTCCTGAAATAAGGGAAACTCCTACGAGTCGGGAATTGACTTTCCAATTTGACATTATAAATGACGATTAAATTGAACGAAATCCTACTGAATTACATTCCTGCAAAATGCCGGACTGATAAATCACTAGCTCTAACCAGATGCTCATTCTCACTCCAGCGAATTTTCGGAGGGACAGGAAATAAATTAATTACCCAAACACATCTCTCGCATTTGTCAGACGTGCGTATCAATTAGGGAAAACAGTTTCAATTTATCAATTAATTAACTTTCAATTGATTTACTTCAAGTTAGTTCATGGATTAATTGATTCGACAACAGGACGCGTGAAAAAATATTTTCTTTTACATAAAGCTCATTAAACGAGCTTTCTAATGAGTATAGTATACAGAAGCTCGATGGGAATAAAAAATTACAGAGGGATAATGAAGAATATGAAGAATTAATTAGCGTGCAGTGCACATGCATCGAAAGTAATTAATGGGTTCGGTGGATTGTGTTTCCGATGTTGAATGAAAAATGAAGAATTACCGTTGAGAACATGAAGGATGATACTGGCACTGTCGAGATTACTCGGACTGCAGGTATAATTTCCCGTGTCCTCGAGTCTGGCATTGTGTATAACAAGCTGACTGTCATACCCGTTCTCGGTAGGCGTTGGCTGATGAATGACTAGTTTACCATACGGATCATTCAGAAGCCTTTTGCCCCGATGATACCAGAATACGTAGGACGGTGCCTCGACAGACTGATTTATTACACAGTGAAGTACAACTGTGCTACCAGTCCTCACGAATCTCTCACGGTCACCCAGTATTTCGATTTTTGGCACTGAAAAAGGTTTCATTAAATTTCTTATCATTCCATTAAGGCCCAGGTGGACTGTCTGGAAAAGATCATTTACTCCAAAATTGGGACTTCTAATTACTCCGTCAATTAATCATTTTTTCCGATAATTATTAGCTAGCGGTCTAGTTGTTAACAATCGCTAGAACTCTAGCTAACAATTATTGAAAAAGACGATTAATTCCCAGAGTAATGAGAAGTCCCGATTTTGGAGTAAATTATCTTTTCCAGACAGTCCACCTGGGCCTTAATTTTATTTTTTCCTCAACCTTAAATTTACATTCTATTTTTTTCAACGAAAAATTCAATGAAATTAGGTCGGTGGTTCAAGTTGGAGGTCATTCAAAAGATAAATTATTTACATTTTTTAATGCTAATGTTTATTTATGCTTTCTGTTGGGCCTTTTTTAAGTACTTGAGCTTTTAATGGGTCTAGGGAATTTTTCGATTGCTCACCGATCACGCTGAGATACACAACGTGGCTCATCTTCTGTTCAGTCGATATCTGGCACTCGTATTCTCCTTCATCTCTTGCCTGTACATACTTTATCTGTAATGTCCACGTATCCGATCCGTCGACATATATCGTCTGAAATCTCTCATCAGCGATGAACATTATCCTGTCAACCGACAGTATGTGGGCGTCTCTACGTCGAATCCATGACACCTGCAATCAATCATCAAATCAAAGTTAAATTATAAACTATTAGATTTCTTTATTTATAAATTTCCAATCTGAATCATAATCCCCTCAAATCACTGCCGAAAATATTCCCATTATGCATTTAGAAAATTAAATAAAATTGAATTAAATTATTTGCTGTTTCAATTTTAAAAGATAAATAAACAAATTTTAGGATTTTTTTTTATTGTTGGACAATGATTTATAGATTGCACTCAGATAACGTCTAAAAAAAGATAAATGGAGATAAAGCTTTAGATTTTATTAATTCAGTTCAGATGAGCCACCAGAAATTGGAATATTCAATTAATTTAGATTTATTTAATGAATTTCGGGATTATTTTTATAATTAGTGGGGATTTCGATGGTTTTTATCGAATATCGATGGAAAATACAGAAATAGGGCCGATTAAGGCCGAAATGTTGATTGAATTTTCCGAACCAACGGTTGAATTTGTGACGTAAGTGAAAACCCCAGGAATATTAATACTCAAATTTAAGCCGAAGAAATTCAATTTAGAATGATCGAATCCCCTGAACCATAAGCCTGAACGAATCTATTCAATGGTCTTTTACTCAATTTAATTGGAAGAAGATGTCTAATGGATCGGAATGGAGGGATAATGGATTTATTCAGTTTTCCCCGGCATCTCTGTGCATATTTCATGCCCCAAGAGAACAAAGAAGCTCGAGGGAGGATAATGAAAACACCCGAGCGTCTTTAAACTCTGAATTTCTCATGAGAAAAATTCTCTACACGCCAATACGATACCTAAAGAAATTATAAAAATAAAAACACATCTTGAAGTTGCGGTTGTCCTGTATGTATTAACGAAGATATAAGAATTGTTTAAAATTTTTACTAATTTCTGGAGCGATAACAGATGCCTCTACACTGAGAGAAATATTTAATAAATATTTAATAAAAATTACGTGTATTTTCCGTAATTCTGGAGCGAAATGTGGTTGTCGGAAATTTTACGGAACTGTTACGTAATTTTTATCTAAAATCACGGAATTTCTTCGCGGTGTTCCGTAATTTTTATCTGAATTATCGGTAAAAAATAACAATAAAATAAATTTAATTTAATTTTAATTAAATTAAATCACTTAAATTTTTTGAATCAACTCCGTAATCGGTAAGTGAACTGAAAGTTCCGTAATTTTTAGTAAATATTTCTCTCCGTGTAGAATTCAATTCACAACAACATTTTCTGGTCATTAATTATTAAAGTTTTCAATTAACAAAATTATTTAAGTTTTCATTAGCCTCTGGGGGAGATAAACAAATTCTGAAAATTCCAATGGTTATGAATTCAATCGAGAAGACAAAGTAATGATGGAAAAATTTCCGATTCCCGAAATAATAGATTATCAGAGTTCATTATTATGATCTCTGAGCTACGCAATTTGATGGGGAATGAGTGAATTTGATCAATCGATGCATCGACTCTCCGGTGACGAATTATCCCTGAATTTGCCCTAATTACAGTGCCAGAGTATTTATCGAGGAACCGGAAGTAATTAACGTAATTGAGCCGTTCCACGCAGAAAGTTATATATGTGTGAAATATATCTGAAAATTTATATCAGATATATGCGAATTATACATGACATGTATATGCTAATACCTGAAATATATTCAGTATATATTTAATTAATATTTCCTATACGATATTTTTTAATTTATAAATACATAAAAATCACATATATTCGATATATCCTTCGATTGCAATATTTTTGCACAAAATATATGTATTATTATTTCCATATATATGATATATATTTGGGCATATATTTTTTTCTCTCCGAGGGCGTTTATGGCTAGTCGCATTTGTGTCACTGAGTTTATAGCAGCGACACGAATGACATTTCATTACCGTTCAACCCCCATCACTCCTTTACCCCTTTACCTCTTCACCCCTTCACCCCTTCATCCCTTCATCAACTCGTTGTGAAGGTCAGATTATGATCTAACGAATACTTCTCTCGGGAAACAATCCGTTGGAAAGTTCCAGGGATTTTAATCCGGAAATTCAATTTAGAACATTTTTTTATGGTTTTTATGCTGGTGTTACGAATTTCTGACGTAATTTTTATTCAAGGCTATATTAATTTCCATCTGCTTAATAATGAATTTTTAATGCAATTTTCCCTGAGTTTAGCTGAATAAAATCATTAACATTTTTTGAGGGTAGATTAATCAATTCTGCGAAAGAAAAAAATGAGTGGAGGTGGGGGAAATCCGCAGGTTTTTAATTCTCAAAAATACATTTATCCAAGTAATCAATGTAATTATAATTGATATACTATAATATTTTATTTATATTCAGGCAAAACTAAAAATCGAAATAATGATCTCGGGAAAACTTCCAGCTGGAAGCAAGGTATTATCTAGATAAATCTAAATTTGTAGTGATAAAAAAAAAATATAGACTACCCGTTGACATTTGCGGAGTTATTCCCCCCAGATATCCGTAGAGTAATTACGGTGAGATGCTGAAGCCCTCGAAAAACCTCGAACAGAATCACCACAAATTAAGGTCAAAGCCGTAATTAACCCACCCCCTGTCGTCACTGACCACCTCTCTTCATGAATAATCACACTTAATTTCTAATTCATGGATGACGTGTAACTGAAGGGAGCAAACGAGGCAGAGAACAACCAGAAAACTCAAGAACGTGCCGAGTTGAAATAAAGTTTCTATGATAAATGCCCGAATATTAAGTAAAACAAATTAGTTAACTTAGAGCTGTTTCAAATTACGGTTAAATTACGTTAGAAGGATCGCTGTTGTCACAAGGTACAGTCTCCGAACTCGTTGTCTCACGCGATATTTCCAAGGGTAAAACGTTGCACCATGCACGAAAAGTTTTTGTTTCTAATTGCCATAATATTGCCAATTGTCGGCGGTTGCGTTTGTACTCACAGCTAAATACGAGTGCTCTGGAGATACCAGAAGTTACTGGACACATCGTTTTACTTTTTCCAAATTTTATTCCGCAACGACAACTGTCTCGAATAATATTCCGGAAAAATTATTCCTCAAAAAATTCATGTACACCCTTCCACAAATAAAGTTTTGTATTTATGTTCGTACAATTATTTATATTGTCGTTTACAATTATTATTATTATTATTACCATTATTTTTATTTAATCCCTGCTGTATAATTTGATTGACACTTTCGTTCGATATTCCTCCAATCATTTATACATTAATTCGATGCATTCTGATCCGATGAAAATCGAATGATTAATAAATTAAAAAAAATTATTCTATTGAATCCAATTATAATTCTTCTAGAAAAGCTCTCAATTTGTTACTGAATTTTTTATCCGTTTCCTGTGTTCACCGTTGATTTAGTAATTAATTTTTTAACACTTGAAGTTTTTTTAATTAAAACATTTGGCGTTCTTAATTAAAGGAGGTAGAGTGGCCAGAGTTTATCTCAAGACGTGAGCACAGCGGCTGAAGCTAATGAAAATAAAAAGAGGTAACTGGGTGACAGGGACGTAATTTTTCCAGTAAAGATGTGACGTCATGATTACCAGGTAATTTTTCCGGTAAAGATGTGACGACATAAATCCAGGGAATAAGTCGTAAATGGTAAATATATATTGATGAATATTTTTATATATTAATGGGTATTTGTTCTCACCGATTTATTTCCCAGTTGGCGAACTTTGCAGGGCAAGAAGGCGTTTGTTCCCAATTGAGCAGTGCAGTTCTTCGGGCTGTTCTCGTCGAAATAAGGACCTGGATAAATTCCCGCGAATCTTCGCACTAAGGAATGCGATCTCGTGCTCACCCCTGTAATTCATTATAACTCATTAATAATAAAATTAAAAATCATCGAATTATCCCTCCAAGAAAAGCATCAATCAATCATCTAAAGAAAATTCACTGGAAATGAATTAAAAACCGTTTTTCGCTAGTACGTCATTTTTTAATTTTTAATTTTTCTTTTTTTTTTAATTTTTAATTTTTCTTTTTTTAAAATTTTTCTATGTATACATAAATTTTAATTCCTATATTTTTAATTTTTTATTAATTACCAATTCGCTGGGGTATCAAGTGTATTTTTGCAAATGGGATAAAGAGATTAATTAATGAAATAATTGATCTCAAACCCATGGGAAAAATAAATGAGTGAATGTCAGGGCCTTTGGTCCCAAGGGAGTGTCATCTTCACGCCCATCTAATGACCTTCATTCATTCAATCACTTTTTGCATTGCTCTCCAGTGAATCCATAAATCAAAGGCCGTGGGGGTTATTTCAAGACTGAAAATCTTACCAATAAAAAGGGTAAATCCACGCTTTTAAATCAACCTATGGCGTTAATATTTATTCGCGGCCCTTTTTCCCCGACATTTTCACACGCTCCGCATTTATTTACCCCTTATCGGGGAACAAAGTGAAATGTTATCGAGTTATGTGCACGCACCCAGTGTCACAGGTAATGAACTGTAATTAAATTAATTTATTAGGGAGAATGTGGAGATATTTTTTCCTGTGATTAACTCTTTGATTTGGATCAGTTTTCGGGGAATATCTCGGAATCTGAGGGAGATGCTAGTATTTTTGGTATGACCTTTTTACCTAATCTTATTTTACTCCGTAATTTACTGGATACTAGACTTTGAGTTATTCTTGATTTATTGGAGAAATAATAATTTAGTGAAGTAATTGGGGAATTTAAATCAGGGAGAATTTCCCTGATTTTTAAGAGTGAGTATTTATGAAACTAAAAAAGGAAATAGAAACATCTTCACATCTGGAAACGTATCTGGAACATTGGAAACAACTTTGTGATGATCAATACAATTCCAAACAATTCCCAATGGAATAATAAAATTGTGAATTTTATCGGGATTCAATAAAATCGTGAATAAATCTGAAACAATCTCGTCGTATATTCACACATTAATCCGCACTTTTTTGTATCGAAAACATATTGCTCTGTTCTTCCGAAGCATCACTGAAAATCCGCAAATGTCATTCAATCGGGAACTAGACAATAACTCTAACAACTATTCCCCGTTCACTCGGGTATTGAATTTTTTTCTTTTTTCGTGGTACATCTAATGGAAAAATTCAGCAGGGAAAATAACTGCAACCTGGTAAATGAAAGCCTCGGGATACGTGACGAGGAGATAAATGGGAATTCAATCATGTTGCGAGGAATTTATTACGGGTTTTGTAGATTGTATATTTTTTGAGTGCATTTTTTGATTCGCATTCGCCAATTCTGTTTTTTTTTTTAATTAGTTATGACCGGAAGAGCCTACGCACACTTGATTTGTTATTCATAATTCGTTATGGAAACAATCCAATAAATAAATTGAAACTAAAATAAATATTGAAGGATTGTGTAAAAAATTGGAAGCAGGGAGAATTCGATTTGGGGAGAAAAAGCAGTTGAGGTTTTTAGGAAAATTGAAAAGCTGAGGAAAGTACGAAATTACGTGGAAATTACATCGAAGTTATACTATAGTTAATTAATTATTCCTATTAAAATGATTAAACAAAATTATTATATAATTAAGTTTTGAATAATGGAATTTATCATTTGGTTTCCATCAGTCAATTAAATTTGATTAAAAAATCATTCTTCTATTCAGTATGCATTAAATTAATTATTTCTGTTCGATGAAATGAATATTCCAACTCTACAAAATTCATGAAGGAAGTACTGAAAATTTATCGATGTTTAATATTGAATTGAATTTCCAATTCACACGAATTTCGAAGAAAATCCTACTCGACACCAAATTACAGTTCAAAGATTTTCAATAATAAAACCAGTGTGACATCTTGACAATTGCCGAGCGCAATATTGCTGAGTAAATTTTTTATTTGAATCCACCGTAAAAAATTACGATTACGGCTCCTGGCTTTCCAAGTGTCTATAATACCGCCATCTTTGAATTTTGTATTTTCTATTGAATACTTCTCTCGCCGTAAAATCCCCGGAATAGTATTACTATATTTATTTCTCGCTGCCTAAATAAACTAATTCATTCCCCTCGAAATAAATCATTTCTCTGAATGTCTGACATCCCGAGAGCCGCAATCCGCCGTCATTATCCCCCAAAGTGCTCCCCGACGTCTGATATTTTTCATCCCTAAGAATTCCTCCCTCCCTCATCCCCTCTCCGAAAAATCCACTCCCCACTGATTACCCCAACGATTCCTCACCCCCTCCCACACTCAAATAAAATCCTCACCCCATTGAAACGACGAATCACCCTCCACCCCCAATCGACCCATCATTTGCCACTGGGTCAAACGTTTCGCCGTCATTGTCATCCACTCCGTCGGGAGGCATTCAATCACAACCGGAAAACGATGGGAAAGGTGAGGTATCAAAGTGAAATCGTCGCCAGAGGGTGCAACTGATCCACCCATCCTCCCCCTTCACCACCCACCGCCCACAACCCACTGAGATTCAGGACGGATCATCGAAAGATCCAAGTGCTGTTTCCGGAGGGCAAACAACTGATTTCCTCGAGATCAATTTCTCCCTTTTTCAATAATTTCTCTGACCCACATTCGTCGAGTCACTGCCCACCCTCTTCATTCGTGTTTCCATTTGGCGAATGGGGGAGAACACGACTCCCGTGACACCGCGTAATTCCTTTTGTTTTCGCTGCTAACCGGGAAAGGCCTCTGATATCAGATTAATGTTGAAGTGAAAAAAAAAAAAAAATTGTTCGGCATGAGTTTACAACCGTTGAGTCCCGTGTTTGGAGTTTCCTGATGGCTATCGAGAATTTTTTTTCCTTTTTAATGAGTCGAGAACTCGACTGGAGGGTAATTCATTGGGGTTTTGTTGATTTTTAGGGTATTATAGAGAATGGAGGGAGGAGGATGGAGGGAGAAGGATGGAGGGAGGAGGATGGAGGCAGGAGGATGAAGGAAGAGAGGGGAAAAATAGCCGAGAAAAAAGCGCAAAGTAGATTAGTGTAGATTTGAGAATTGTTATAATCAGGGTGGTCATTCGTGGTTTTATTCGGCCATTTCACGTTTTCGGTTCTGAGTGCTTCCGGTGATAGTTCGGAAGCTGGCGGCCATAGTGTTGTTTTGGTAATGATTTTTTTTTGTAGGTTAAAAAAAAGCTGCAACGAGCTTTTATGATAAATCATCGTATCTCGGATGAATTTCGAGATCTTTATGACCAAAGAAATGATTTTAAAATTTTATTCTATAATTTCAGATTTTCATTACATCACAATGTTAAAAGTACCTCATAATCCTCTGGAGATTGCGCTATATCTCCAATAAATTCCAAGTTTTTCTTATATTTTCACAGAGATTCATTCGGTTGCATTTCTCTTTTCCAAATTCCTCCAAATCCACCAGAGATACAAAAATTTTCATACCGATCTTTTTTCTAGCTGAAATTCACAGCTACAAGAACCATCTTTACAAAAATCGAGCTATTCCTGCTAGATTGGGAGATATTCCCCTCCCCAGAAACCCCCTACAACCAACTCTACAATTCCATATACTAATCCCTCCTTTCTTTTCAAATATCTCCTAATCACGATCAGATCCCGCAATTTCGATAACCACCTTTTTTGCAGACAAAACTGCGATCTACAAAAACCTTCCTCATGAAAAACCACTCCCACCGTTATATCCCGAGATATCCCGGAAAAATCCCTGGAAAAAAAAAATGTCGATTCCACAATCACTCGAGAGTTCCTCAGAAAATAATCCCCTCTCCCTACCAAAAATGGCGCAACCTCGTTAAACCTCACTCGACCGATCTCCCCAGAAAACCGATCATCCCCTTCCCCCGGAAATGAATAAAGGGAATGTGACCTCCAGTAATAGGAATTGAAATGGGCCCTATCGATCCCCCGTAATGCACCTTGTGACCCGGTACAAATTCGCCACTCCAATTCTCCAGAGTCATTCACAAAATTCACTCAGTTATTTCCAAATCCCGAGTTGCCCCATTGGCAACATGATTTTCAATTTTTTATTTTAGATTATTCCAACAGCTGCTTATCACTGCCTATATAAGTAGATAAACTGATAACTCCCCCACAGCGACGATGTACCCCATTGTTTCCGCCATGATTGTTCAACTCTTTTTGTTTATCTATTTATCTTTTGCCATTTGATTTAAATGGAGCTCTTACCAGTTATTCCAAGGACAATCCAACAGACAAGACACAGAACGTAATAGTTGACGTAGGAGGGTGTCCTCATGGTAACGACGAGGACCATGGCTGGACTAACATCTCAGTGATAACACAACCGCCAACACATTATCTCCCACTTACACACACCTATCATCCGTCATCAGATGATTCCACTGATTTTTCCTCCGAATCATCGCGACGTATCAAACAATCACATAATCCTTGTGGAGATCAACGGCATTCGTCACCGATTAAACTTTATCCTGACACTTTATCCACACTCAATGATAATTTTTAGGTACCTTCAATTATTATTTAATTTTTTCAATAAAGTAATTATTATTTTATTTTTGAGTTTTTTTTAAATTTTTTTGGCGGATTGAGGTAAATTTTTGAGTGGGTCTCCTTGGGTCTTTGAAAAAGCGTGTGCTTGTGGTGCTAGTCTGTCCCGACGTCCCGGGCGAAGCTCTGGCACAGGCCGGGCTCCCGTGGCACTGCCCGCGCCCGCCCGGGCTACGCGCAAGCGTCCTCTTCCTCTAGGAATCACTCAGTACCCTCTTCTTTTCACCCTTTTTACGCGCGTCCTCACTTCGCCGGTACCACCATTTCCGACGAATAACTCCGTTTGAGGGGGACCACCGAATTTTCCGCTCATCCTTCGGCCAAATGGCACGTACGGGGAGGGGATTCAGCGATTCATCAGGAGGGGACAAACTTCAAATTACAAATTACTTCATTAAATATTTGTGCATGATTCACATTTTTTATTCTTTACGGTATCACAACTGGAATTTGAGGATTCGAAATCGAAGGCCCGGATGGACTGTCTGGAAAAGATCATTTACTCCAAAATTGGGACTTATTACTCCGTCAATTAATCGTCAATTAATCGCCTAGTTGGTGACAACCGCTAGTACGCTAGCTAACAATTATTGAAAAAAATGATTAATTGCCAAAGTAATTAGGAATCCGAATTTCGGAGTAAATGATCTTTTCGAGATAATCCACCCGAGCCTTAAAAGACATTTTTTATTGGTATTATATTTTATTTTTTAGGTCATTTTGATTATTCTGAGTGATTTGGACGGAGTGGGAGGGAGTTCTGTAGCTCAGGAGGGGGGAGAACTTGAAGAGACTTTGAATTAGGAATTTTTAAATTAACTGCATATGCATGTTTCATATGTTAGGGATGAGCTCATGAGATATAAAATTCCTCAACGTAGCGAATTCAGATGCATGTCTTCCTGAAAATAAATAAAAACCTCTCTCCCTCATGCAAAAATTATTCGCGAGTTCAATTCATCCATCTCCACCGAAAATTTCAATGATCCGTCCACTACTGCATAAAAAATCTCGTAAAATATTCTGCCAAGGGTTCCACGCTCACTCCTTCAGTTTATTCATCGCAATTCATTCACTCTCGACTTTTCATCGCTTCATCCAACATCACAAAATTAATTTCCTCAATTTCTCGGAATTTTCCCGCAATAATCATTGCGCTGCTTTCATCACCCTCAACTCGTGTCGTCCGTGGAGACTTTCTATCACTTGTGGTACGCGAAAAAAAAAAAATTACACTTTCCTATGCTTGTACATGTGTCCCGTTTTTTGGGACGTTTTTGGGACGTTTTTTTGGGATGTTTTTTAATTTTTTGTACGGTTTGGTCCACCACAAATGATTATCATAGAAAATGAAATTATATTCAGTAATTTGAATAGCTATAGAAAAATAACCGAGATGTACCCATTCTCTCTAATTCTAGACCAACTCCAACGCGAGGAGCATTATATTAATAATCATATCTTCCAAATGAATTATTCCCCCCTAAAAAAGCTCCCAGACCCTTCATTGGGTGACGAAAATCCATGTAGAATCGCGTGGTGGACCTAAACTAGACATTTACATTTTTATTGTTCACTTGTATCGTAACTTACCATATACGACATAAAGGGGCACTGACATTTCTTATTCATTACATCTGCCGACACCAATGGAACCGCCATCTGTAGATAAGGGACTCTTGTGGTACGTGGGAAAAAGATAAGGGCCTCCGAGAGAGTGGCACAACTCCAAGGGAGAAACAAGAAGATGCAGATAGAAGGGAATTGCATTGGCGAGGCTCGTGCTAGGGTTATTTTCGACTGAGTTGTAAAGAAAGAGTGCGGAAGAGTAAAAAAATAAAACAAGTAGATTGAATCGATAATCGATGGGGCGTGGGGGGGTGGGTATCGGTAGTCTCGGAGGTTCTCATTGTTTGCGTTCGGAGAGTGGACAGAATCAGGGGACTCTTCTTCGGGTAAACAGACGATAGCAACTTTGTTACGGCCATTCCTCGTTTTACGTCAGGCTTTTTGATGAGATCCTGAAATAATTCGCGAGTGGAGCCAACGTCATGGATAATGAGGGCATCAATTCCGCGGGTGCAATGAAAAAATCGTTCGGTTTACTCTATTCCATGTTACGTTTGTGGATAAATGAACGGTACTAGCACGCAAATGAAGACAATCACTAGGATACCGGAATTTCTACGGATCCGCAAAATGGTTGATGAGACCTGCTATTTCAATTATCTACCCTCAATTCCTCGAAATGCGAAAAGAAAGAAACAGTAACTGCGTGATTACCATGGGCTTCACATTTTCCATTATGGAAATTGCTCATTTGATCAACGATCCAATCAAATCACTCGTCGTGGGAAAATGTTAATGAACCTGTTCATTTCAACTTAAGTACCCGCAATTACTCCATCTCCGGAGAGAATATATTTTTTTAAATAAGACTTTTAAAAAATTGCAACACTATTCATTAATTAGATATTTTCTGTGGAAATTTTCTCTTTTATTTGGGAGAAATAATATATAGTCTCTCGAAAAATAAGAAAAGGGAAATATTTTTATAGTAAAAAATATTCAGCGAATAATAATTTTTCAAAATAGTGTAATAGATAAATAATCGAGTGAATACTAAAATACAAATAGTTAAAAATATAAAAAAATCAGAGTCAGAAATAAAAATCGAATAGACTCTATCTTCCATCTTTATTAGAAAAGTTTAATAAAAATGGGAAAAACTGTTGATTAAAAAACCATTTACCGTAAAAGTAATATTTTTATTTGAAAACTCGTAGAGCTGAAGGTTTTGATGTGTGCGTTTGGCGTGAAAAGTTTTTTCAACAAAAATTTTTCATTGAATCCTGAAAGTTCCTCGCGGTCATAAAAAAAAGGGGAAGCACTCTGAAATTAGAAGGATATATGACTGGTTTTTTTTTTCATTTTCATCAATGAGTCATGCATGAATTCATGCAATACTGTGGTGTTTCGATATCGAGTTTGTGACGCACTGAATTAATCGAAAAAATATCCATTTTTGAATGGTGATGGATAAGAGTCGTCTCACCCTCATCCATCTTACCGCCAACCCACCACCCACCACCCACCACCCACTGGATAACTGTGCAACCGATATTATCGTCGGGCACGATTAATTGCTCACGACAAATCGAGCTGGAATCGTAACGGAAGCTCGATTAACCGCAGAATTACGAGGTTGATAAAACGCCCGCAGGGAATTGTAATAATTCCAAGTGTTTCAATTCTTTATTCACCCCGAGTGTCCCCCTATAATGCATTAAAAATACATTTAATCCCCCGTCAAGAAAAATCAATCGGAACTTTTTATTAATTACCAATAACGAGGGAAAAACATAGAAAATAAATTGAATCAAGTGTATTTTATTACTGTACTTATTCTACATATATTTTTTATTTTATTTTCAAGGGTAATCTCGATAAAAAAATTATTAAAAATCGTCTATTTTCAATAAGTTTACTGAAGGTTTCATGAATAACTGAAAAATTATAAGGACAATCAATACCAATATCAATAAGATTGTCTTATTAGTCTTATCTTATCACCAGCAATAATACGAGGGAAATAGTTTGACTTGTCTCGAAGAATATTTTAAAGAGTCTTCAAATTTGTGGTTTAAAAAAATTGAACTTCGCAGAGAAATGATTGTAAGCGGTAATCGCATCAGAGGCAATCATTAGTTCTTGTATTTTTAATGCGAATGGCTGGAGGAACTTCCTGGTATTTTCAACAAAGCATGTGAAAAGTTCAGGGTGTTATCGAATTAAATACGACTAGTGCTTCTGACTACTCTACACCGCCTCAAAACGTTAATGCAACTAATTGCATTCAATTGCATTAATTGGCGCCTGAAAGTACGCTGAAACTTTCAATTGAGACCCTCAAAATTCCCCAACTCACAGGGGAAATATTTCGTTCTCAGTAAATCCGGGGGTATTAAATATATTTAAACAATTTTTCAACGGCAAAAAAAGGGGAACTCCAGAGCTCGTTGGAATAAGGAATGAGTACTGAATGAAATAGTTAATAAAAATACACAGCAGTGTGAAAAAAATCCATGAAAGAAGATTAAATAAAAAATTTATACAATTCATCCTCTATGTGAATTTATTTTTTAAATATTGAAATGAGAAAAATATTTATTAACTTCTCACACCTAAAAAAAATTAACGTAACAGAATTAAATAATTAGTTTTTCTGTTTCGATTTTCCATAAAAATAAAAAAATATATTTTCAAAAATATCTCCGATTGTCTCAAGTAAAATTGAATAAACACAGAAATATTTTCCAAAATTAATCTCTCAGTGAATAAATGTATAAAAATAAAAATAAGACGAAATGATGAATATAATAGAGAATTAATCGTGTGAAAAATTTTCACTCTTGCGTATAGATTTGAATAGAATTGGATTGTGAGGATAAAAATATGATAACCGCATTATCACTCTCGTCTGCAGCCGCATAAAATCGATCGAATGCAAAATTGTTAATTGAGCCTGCGCAAATTCATGGTACGAAGCGTCTGGTCTCTTTTGTAATACGGGAACAGAGAAAAGTGAAGGGTAAAGGAACTTTGTTCTCTTGAATATAATGATCTTTCCATTATCCAGCAAATGTGCCTCATCTGACTGGAATTATCCACTCGGCTGTTCGCATTATCCTCCACCCTCGATCAGGACTTCACTCTCAACTTTGGGACTTCATTTTCCGCTTTACTCTGCATCACCCAGTAATCCATACTAAAAGTACACTAAAAAATCTCAACGTTTATTACCTTTGAGAAAATTTAAATCATTAATTAGTCCATGAACATTCAATCCCAAATTATACTCCGAGTTGTCGTAAATTACGATTATAGAATCGTATTCTGGGATGGATTTCAATCTTAGTTACGACCACTTCATTTACGACGTGAATTATAATTACCCAAGCGTTAATCGTCATTGATTACACGATATGATATTGTAAATCAAATTTATGTAGTCGTAATTTACGATTTTCACTGGAATTTTTCGGCTTCATTTTAACCGACTTTTTAATGCCACCCAATTAAATTTT